CCTGTGTATGTCTAGGTCTCCACACGCAATTTTCCAAATATCCTTGGCATCTTTTGGGAGTTGTTTTTTTGTTCTGCCTATGTACGTCACGTTTTTGGTCTGCCTGTGTATGTCTGGGTCTCCACACTCAATTTTCCAAAAATCCTTGGCATCGAGCACACATTGGCTGCGCCTACTTCGGACATGGAGGAAGCTCCCGCCGACCGACCGACCCAATCCGAATCGATGGGAATAAATCTTCAGACAACCGCTATTCGGGAATCGACTGATTACGGATGCCTTGGGCCAGGTAAGATGCAACTCAGATGCCCCTTGGAAAGGTTGGGTTAAACATGGTGCTAGCAGGGTAGGAGATCTGTGGGATATAGAGGCAAGATGTTGGAAGAGTTCAGAAAGGATGCGGGCATGGCTACGCTACTGCCATCTCACGGAATCGACGCTAAACGAACTCATTGAAAGCTTCCCTCTCCAATGGTATAGCATCCTTCGAAAAGGGCCGCAATTGAGAGAAGGAGACTGGGTTTGCCTGCCCGACCACAAGGAGGAGATAGGACAAATACACATTGTAGACCAAAAACCAGACCCTAATTGAGCTCTTCTCCGTCCAAAAGGATAGCGCTCTACGGGGCAGCCAGGATCCCTTTATCTGGAAGGACAGAACGAACATATATCGCATCAGAGTTCTGAACACTGGGAGAGGACGATGTGCCTACCGCCCAACAACCCCAATTGAGGATCTCCCCTTCGACCCCGACGAGTGGCATTGGTCCCAGGGAGCCACGACCAGACAAGGGCCGACAAAACAACTATTAACACTTTACAATCTAAAAACCAAATCAGCCTATCGTATGCTCCGTCCCAAACGAAGACTGCGGGAGACGGTTGAGGACAGGTGGCATCGACATCTTAACGTGGACTGAGACTTGCTCAAACCGATCGGCTGGTTCACTCAACTTAGGAATAGACCCGCTAAGATTTTGGCCCTTCAGTGACAAATAGCGCACCGATGCCTGCCAACAAACAAATGGTTGATAGATCACACTTGGCTGGAGCAGCAAGGTCGGGCGTTACCCTGGTGCCATAGCTGTCTCAGGGGTTACCCGGGGAGGAAAAGGGCCGAAACAATCGAACACATCTTCCTCCAATGCYCGRCTTCGGTTTTGCTYTGGAGGGTTTGGGACAGGATYTGGCGATACATTGTCCCCGGTGCAGAATGGCCATGGGAGTGGAGGGCTATATTACTAGGTCATTACCCCCCGATTCGGGAAAACACATTCGAGGAGAACATGTTTCATTTGGGCAGGCGGGCGGTCCTGTGGGTCATATGGTGGAAACRTTGCATTTTGGAAATGGAAGGGGCAAGGGTTGAAGAAGGAGAAGTCACAGAACAGTTACGCCTATTAGTACAACATGAAATTGCTGCCCAGTGGAAGGCGGCCGGAGACAAACTTGACCAAATGAATTCCTGGTCTGACATCAACAGGATCATCTCCCGATTCAGTCAGGTGGTTGGGAGGGGAAAGAAAAGGATGGGTGGCGGAGGTAAAATGGTCTGAAAAGTGCCAGCAGGGGGGAGAGCTGCAAGAAGGACACCGGACGGAGATAGCAAGAGATTACCAGCTGATCTTCCATGAATGGACAAACCTCGATCCCGGCGAGAGGTTACGCCCGCCTCAAGAATTTGCAGACCCCTTCCCCCCCCACCCACTGGCACTGGAAGATGTCCTCCCCCCACGATCACAGTAACCCAGTCCGGTGAAACCGGCCCGGCTCAGTTTTCTTCGCTGCTCCTTTCGGTCTACTTTCTGGCTACTTGATTCTGCCCTCTTCTTCTGTGTTCCCCTACTTCTGCTCCCTTCTGTTCTGTTCTGATCTCTGCCTCTTTCGGTTCCTTCTCTGGTTGTCTATCCCTGCTTATCCCTGCTCATCTCTGTTTACCTCTGTCTATTCTGACCCTTCCAATACAAGTCCAGTCTAATGGTTAGTAAAGGGACAGCAGCAGATGGATACACTACAGGATTGGTTGAATGAACAGCACCGATATGGGACGCTGGACCCAGTTTCCAGCATTGGCAATGTACTGTCTGTCTCAGCTTTCTCGGTTACAAGTTCAGTCTAATGGTCAGCAGAGGGACCGCAGCAGATGGATACACTGCAGGATTGGTTGGATGAACAGCACTGATATGGGACGCTGGACCCGGTTTCCAGCATTGGCAATGTACTGTCTAGGGCTGGGGTTGGAGGAGGCTCCACTGGTGCCCCCCAGTGGGTCCCCCCAATAGCCGAGCCTGCTGCAAGATAGGTCTGGTATAGTGGATTGGATGGGAGGCTGGACCCAGTTACTAGCGCAAAGGAGTCACCTTTAAAACGTACTGTGTATAAAGATGTATCTAAGGGACACTGGACCCGGTTTCCAGCAGGTGTTGCTCCCCACCAATAGATGGAGCGGCCCGCCAGGCAAGCCTCAATCCCGGTTAGAGTTGTTTTTTTGTTCTGCCTGTGTATGTCACGTCTACAGGAAAGTTGTTCAGGGCGTGAGGTTTGAGCATCTGTTTGTGGCCCCCTTTGTGTGCTATGTGCGCCAGGCGGCTGCCGAGGGACCAGGGCCAAACAATCTAGCCCATTCGTTTTGTGTGTAATGCGGGGAGGCCAAATTTCCCGAATAGTCGGAATCGGATTTTAGTGGACACAATTCCATGGCCCAGAGCACTGCCAGGGCCGTGCCCCATTTGTGGAGCTTCTGTTCTTCTACGAGTTCACACTGCGAGCGTGAGATTTGGTAGCAGGGACCCGTGGATCCTGCCCCACTCGTGGAGAATTGGTGTGCCACAACCCAGATATGCAGCTCATTGTCTGAGGCAGTTAGGTTATGGCTTGTCCAATTTTCTTTTATTCTGCTCATTCGAGGCAGGGGACCCCACAATTTTGACAGCATTACTCAGCTTCGCTTAGGCCTAATAAGCAGGAAATTCAAATTTCTCAGAATTTTGAGAGCATCAGGGCATACTCACACGGGGACCTATAATCCCAAAATCCCAAAAAAAAGGGTAAAAGGCCGGTCACAGATGTACCAAATTAGCAAATGTACTATTCCAGTGCGCATTTGTCAGCGGCCTGGGAAGCCGCGAGGCAAGGGATTTTGCGGTCACCTCTGGAGGTGACCGCAAATGCCCTTTTTCATTTGTTGCATTTTTCTTCGAAAATTGGCAAAAATCCGTTCACAAAAGTTCTTGTACAATTAGTGGATGGGCGCCGTGTGACCAGCCAAGTACTAAATCCCCATTTCTCCAGACGGCCGCGACCTTGTCCCATCTGAAAAGGCACAGCAGTGTGACGTGAACCATTCCCGAAACCTCCCTTCCCAAATTGCGGACTTGGGGTCGCCGTGTGAGTATGCCCTTAGGCTTAATCAAACTCCTCATTCGAAGGCACACCACTTAGCTAAACTTGGGAGAGAAACTCTCATTCTCTTCGTATCAATGCCCAGGAAGGTACATGAGGACAATGGGGATTGAACCCGCGACCTCCTGAATGCCACTTGCCAGAGGCTTCTGCGGCAACACATTCCGACCCTCCAACTACAGCCCAAAACAAAAATCAGAAGAAAGATCTGCAACGGAGTGCATCTGATGGTTGGCCAACCAACCATATCCTTCTTTCACATACATAAGCCAACTGTTACAACCCGGGGCTAGGTCCCACTCGCACGAATTAAGAGATACTGACCGTAGATAGCAAAGATCGACGGCCGAAATCTCCTAATTTGCGCAAGTGGGACCTTGCCCCCGGCAGGTTTCCAAAATAGCCTAGCTTTCGTATGGGCATGTTACCATCGGGAATCGAGCTGATGAACCATAAACCGTTCTGAGCATGCCCACGTTAGAATTTTTTTTTTCTTTTTTTTGGGTAAGCTATATTCTTCTCTCATCTATCTCATTTTTTCTTGATAGTACGCATCTATCATCTCATCCTCTCACTATTCTATATATAGTATGGGGGAACACCAACCAACCCGGATCCCTCCCCAGCCCACAGGGTAGGTTTGCACCACAGCTGTGGTGCGCGGGCAAGGCTGTACCAGTCCCTCATCACGGTGACGAGGGGTGGGCAGGCATTGCCGATGGGGGAAATCGGCGGTGCTAGCGCCGAGCAATAGCCAGTCACTGCACCTCCCCTACACCCCCCCAACCCCACATGGCGGTGTCTAATGGCTAATATTGTGGCTTCATAGCAGCCAACAACATCAGCCAAGGTCCTGCCAATGCTGGCTCGGGGGGCCGACGGGTTATCTCTAGCTGGTAGAACACCAAGCTTGCCCAGGCACATCGTGAGGCCAATGGGGATTGAACCCACAACCTCCTGAATGCAACTTCTGTGCCTTACCAACTGAGCTAGGCCCACTGAGCTAGGCCCGCAGGCCACGTTAGAATGGATTAGGCTGTGGACATAATCATCCTGAGAAGCATCCAGGCCCATTGTACGATTGAACTCGCCGAGCTATGGACGGTGCAATGTTGCGTATGGGCCTCGCCGCACCACTCGCCGAAAGGCAACATACGGAATGTATTCCGACGCGCAGTCGACCATATACATTCGCAATCCTGGCCTTTTGGCCTCGCCCTCAACCAAATCTGAAAGAGTAAAAAATATTGTAGCTGTATATTTGCACATTCTACCGCAATATACATTACACGTTTGGACATTTAGTACGTGCTGTGGCCCAGGTCCTACGCCCCCAGTAAAACCAACGATAGGTTTGGACAGCCAATCAGTTCACAGCACACACACACACACACACAGAGAGAGAGAGAGAGAGAGAGAGAGAGAGAGAGTACTTCGTCAGAAGGTCGGGCGCCAAATGCTCGCGTAAGTGGTTGGTGAAACTCTGTTCTGAGAGAGAGAGCGAGAGAGAGAGAGAGAGAGAGAGAGAGAGCTTCGTCAGAAGGTCGGGCACCAAATGCTCGGGTATGTGGTTGGTGAAACTCTGTGGTCGTCGGTGATGGGGCTATTTTTTCACAGCTCGAAGCTAGCGAAAGAGGCAACGGCACGTGTACAACATCTTTTCTTTCTGTCGGTTTTCCCGCTTCCTTTGCCCCTCGCTCACTCCTCTTCCCTTTAATCTTCGCCTCGCACCTTCGACTGGCCGTTGCGTAGTTGCCATGGAGCTCGTGTGTCTGTGACCAATGTCCTTCGAGAATACGAGTTGCCTTTCTCTCGTTGGCGGCGATGGCGGCCTTGTTTGAGTGCTCCGACCTGCCGAGCTATGGACGGCAGGTGTGCACACTCTATTCCCTCAGTCTGCTTTCCCGCTTTCTGGCCCCATCTGTCCCTCTGTCTGTCTTTCGTAATGCCGCACGTGGTCCGGCTGGATGCTCGGAACTTGTGCTGGCGATGATCTGTGCGGCCGTCGTTGTCCACGCGGCAGAGCAACGGCGGGCTGTCGATGTCGAGTACCTCTCCGCTCACTACGAACCCTCTCACCAACCCACCGGCTCGTCAAACCATTTCGTACCCTATTCTCGCCTGCTTCAGGCTGATGACCCTAGTAGCTTGGATATGGAGTCGCTGGAATCTCCGTCGTCAGACTCACAGCCTTCCTCAAACTTGACGCTGCTGGATTCTGCTCTTATCCTTGATGAGAGACTCGTTATGTACCGAAGGCCCCTGCCACCCTTCCTAGGTGATGATCCGAAGAGCGGTAGGCAGCTGGGTTACACGGTGATTCGAGACATAGTTTTTGTTCCCAACTCCACTCTCTTGTTCTTCGTTCTCGACGAATATCGTTTTGAAGGCGAGCCGTCGAAGCGCGTCGCCGAGCGCACCTCGTTCAGGAAAGTAGATCTAGAGGAGGTCAATCAAGGGCTTCGAACGCTCGCCGAGGACGAAGTGATTACCTACTGGTGGCCATACGCAGAGGATGTCGGCTCGGCAAATGCCTCGCCGTTTATCCTTCGCCATCAGACGGATTTAAGTACTTCTATGGCCGATCCCTGGGGCATGGAATTGACGGCAAGTGCGGCGTATCTCATCGTGGGCTTGAATCCGACAGGTAAAGCAGCAAAAGGAAGGCCAATGATCGCCGCTATTTCGACGCGCAATGGAAGCCACGTGGCCGTCAGTGCCCCAGCTGATTCCTTGAGGGGCGTTGCTTTCAAT